TCATATTAGTTGGAACAAAACTTGATACTAGAAACGATCCTACTATTGTTAAAAGATTAGCAGAACAAGGTATGACTGTTATTAATACTGCAAAAGGAGAAGAACTTAAAAATCGTATAAAAGCTGTCAAATATATTGAATGTTCTGCAAAAACAAGCGAAAATTTAAAGACAGTTTTCGATGAAGCAGTTAAAACTGTGTTAATGAATAAACCACAGCAAAGATCAAAGTGTGCTCTTTTATAATTCACTTTTAAATTAAAATGTACATTATTAATTCTCTTTTGAAAGTTTTAATTCTATTATTATATAATTATTTATTTAAAGTCAAACTCTTACGTTTTGTTTTTTAAAAATATAAAAAGTAAAAATAAAAAAGAAGAAATTAAATATTCATGGATTTAAAGAAAGTCCTAACCACCTCTCCCTTCCCTTTAGATAAAACTAAATTCAAGAGTTTTATTAAAAACAATTTAAACACATTAAATATTTTACCGTTTGTTGTCTTCTCTATCTTTAATACAAAAAATAGGGTTATTCATTAAATAGAAAAGTAGTAGTTGAATTAAAAACAAGAAAGTGTATTGTAGAAAACACATTAAATTTATTGAACTTATTTCCTATGAATGTAAAAATGTTACCAACACTTCATAAATTAATTACATTAGAAATGAATAAACAAACAACTTTAAAATTCTTAAAAACATTAGAAATGGTGTTAGGAGTTTCAACACCTATTGAAGTAAAATCAATTAAATTTGATCCATTGTTATTTTATGATTATTTATTAAACTTTTCAAAATCAAATAATTATTTATATCAAGCATACTCTCTTATGTGTTTACATCATCTTATTGTACAACACGAATTAAATGTTCCTTCATATCTTCAATTATTATATTCTACATTAACTCCTCGATTACTTTTAAGTCCAGTTATGTCTACTTATTATGATAGACTTTATAAATATCTTATAAGTTCTTATACTCCATTATACGCTTCAGCTGCTTTTATAAAAAAATCATTAAGACTTTGTTTAGAAGCACCAACTGGATCAATTCTTATTATTTTAAATTTTATTCTTAAAGTTCTTTATGCTCTTCCTCAAATTCATTATTTACTTCATCGACCAGCAATTCCATCATACCGTTATCCAGATGTTGATCCATTTGAAACAACACCATTTACTTCATCTTCTAAATTTGATATTGATTTACGTGAAACTCAAATTGAAAAATCATTCTTATGGGAACACTTATTACTTCAACAACACCCTCATCCTAAAGTTGCATTATTGGCACAATCTTTTCCAACTTCAGAAGATGACCCTGTTATTCTTCCACCCGAACTTGGGATTAAAGATATTATTGATCCAAAAATATGTCCAGTTACAACAACAATTAGTGTTGTTGTAAATCCTTTTATGGTTATGTCAAATGATCAAACAGTAAATGAACCATCCAAAACTGATTGTGAAGAATTAGGAATAAAATATAAAACATCATTATTTGATGTTGTGTTTGATTAAATTTTTTTCTTTTTTCAATTTTTAGGGTTTTTGCCACATCAATACTAGTTGGTGCAATTTAATGTAATTCTTTTGAATCTAAAAAATTAGTTTTTATTTCTCTCAAAGATGGCTATGCGTAGAATTCAAAAAGAGTTAAGGGAGATCCAACAGGATCCTCCTTGTAATTGTAGTGCTGGACCAGTTGGAGATGATATATTTCATTGGACTGCAACAATAACTGGACCTGATGACTCTCCATATCAAGGAGGATTATTCTTTTTAGACGTACATTTCCCAGTTGATTATCCGTTTAAAGCACCACGAGTAACATTTATGACAAAAGTATATCATCCAAATATTAATAAGAATGGTGTTATTTGTCTTGATATTCTTAAAGATCAGTGGAGTCCTGCTTTAACTCTTTCTCGTGTATTGTTAAGTATTTCATCTTTATTAACTGATCCTAATCCTTCTGATCCTCTTGACCCAGAAGTAGCTAATGTATTAAGAGCTAACAAGAAACAATTTGAAGACACAGCAAGAGAATGGACTCGTATGTATGCTCGACCATAAACATTAGTATTAATTAATTAAATATTTGTCTCTCTTTATTTTAAGTTTATTTTTAGATAGTGTAATTATTAACAGAAAAGAGTGATAAAGATTTAAATCCTTTTTATTTGAAATTATTTATTTGTACTTTTATTAGTTTTAATATAATGAAAGGTATTTTATAATTGAGATAGTCTAAAGATATAAGCCATTTCGTAATCATCTTATTTTGAGAATGTTTGATTCTATTCTAGTTTCTTTATTTATTTTATTATCGTAATCTTTTTTTTTTGTTTTTTAAAGAACTTTGTTATGTTTTTTGCAACTTTATCTAGATTAAAATAACATTAATTGAGTGAATACTGTTATTATAAAATAATAAAATTATTTTATCTATTTTTATACAAATAGAAGGAAAAATAATAAATTTTTCAGAGCAAAAATTGAAATTTCTTATTCATTATTCTTTGATGTTAAATATTTTCACTAAGTTATTTTTTTATGAATAAGTCTTGCCAAGTGATTTTTAAGATATTTTAATAGCATATTTTTGAAAGCCTTAATTGAGAAAACGCAAGGAGAATTCTTTTTATTTTATTTGATAATGCATTAATACTCTTTTTCATTTATTTGAGTTGTTCGAATTTGATTATATTCAAGGTTTAAATAAAAATGAATATCCATATCCTACAGTTTCATAAATTGTAATAACATGTTTATGGGAAATAATAAGGTTTTGATATTTAATCAAAGTTAATAAGATTTAGAGGTTTTTATTTAATAATTAGTTTAATGTAAATAAAAAAAAATTGTAATTTCTTGTTGAAATTCAACTTCATTATATAGAACAAATTAAACACTATTTTAGATTAATTTGGAAGATGTTTTAAAAGATCAGTAATAATTTGATGAATTAAATAATTGAAAATGAAAAACTATGAGAAAAGGATTAATTATTTTCAGTATCAACCATGTATTCGACTTCAGACATTCCACGAAGAATCAATGATATAATTTGATAAACAGGGGTAAATTGATAAGGTATTTTTTTGTATAAATTAAATTGTTCAATACAGTTATAAATACTGTTGTATTTAAGGAAGTTAATTTTACCATTTTCTATTGTTGTATCTAGACCACATCGAATAGATGAAATATGATGTAAAGTAACTCCAATAAATGGAACAAATGGTTGTTTAGATGAAACACATGAATCAATTCCTTTTCTGTAATTAGAATAACAACTTTTGGAATCAAACATAGTTGGTAGAGTGAATGCATCAACTTTTCTATTTGAGAAACGATTTTGAAATTCTTTTTTATGATCAGCTGAATTAAATACAGTTGCAAAAACTGCCATTGAATGGAAATCTTTATTATCATATAATTTCATCCATATATCCATGAATTTTTCTTTGACTTTTTGCATTCCAATAGATGCTTTTTCTGAATCAGGGAGAATACGTTCACTAAAGAGTGATTGTCGTAACCATTCTACAGCAATGTTATAAAATTTTAATACAGCAGAAATATGAGATCCAGTTGCCATCACAAATTCAGATGATGAGATTGAGTCATATAATTGTTGATCAATTAGACACAAAGCTTGAGCAATTAAAGTTGGATCAATATCTTTTAAATATAATTTATTTAAAAGAATATCATTTGGTAATTGTGGTTGTTCAAGTTAAATCTACTTTATAA